GACTACAGAGGTACGGTCATCACAGCCAACCAGATCCTGGCATCATCCAATATCTACAAATTTCATATTATACAGGCTTGCTGTGTAGAGATCAGTAAGAAATCTACCTGATATACCCCTGTCTAGCTCAGGTCCTCAGGCCAAACATTATGACATTACAATCACCTGCTACAACTGAGATCAGTTAATTCAGTTCATATTCCAGAATCAAATCTACAACCACTTATCTGTTTCAGTAACGTATTTCTTTTACAAAAGATGGACTGGAGGAACAATCTGAAATGTTATGATAAGTTGTAGCTTTTAATGTCAGGAATATTTGTCACATATGTGATCATGGGTATCTTGAAATCTATCTCCTTTGAACAAGCTTTCAATAATGTGTTTGTGAATATTGTGCAATCATCGGTGAACATCTTTGCTTCTGACATTACGATGGAATGAATGAATGATTTTATTGTCATGTGTATTTTACAGTGAGAAAAACAGTGAAATATTGGGAAAAGCTTTTCCACTGTCACCACGGTCCAGCACTGTTTTGAATAGTTTTAAGAATGAGCAAAAAATGAAGCATTTGGCTCAAAGAGAGTCCATCAGTCCTGAGCCAGTTCATGAACAAAGCCTGTGCCACCATCTCTCCTCCACCACCTCGCCACCATCTAACTGGACCCAATATTGAAGTCACCATTCCTCAGGCACCATCTTTCGCCACTGGACCAATTCTCACCTCCCACCACCTCACCGCCGCCTGCGCCAAACCCACCAATGCCAGAGTTGCATCTCTCGCCGCTGGGCCCACTTCATCAATGTCACTGTGATGCACTTCTGCTATCACTTCACTGCCACAGGTGCCAGACCCAACCGATGATGAAGTCGCCGATCCTCAGGCACCAGTTTTCGCTGCTGGGCCTACCTCACTGACATCGACGTAGCAGCTGCCAATTTCCATGCCAAGGTCCTGTGCTCGCCTCCTGAAAAGTAAGTAGGGGCTCGCTTGGGTTATTGATGAAGCAGCTGATGATGGTTGACGATAGGACATTTGCCTGAGGAACTCCTGCAGAGAGGTCCTGGAGCTGAAATGACTGACCTCCAACAACCACAACCATCTTCCTATGTGCCAACTATGAATCCGACCAGCAGAGAGCTTGCCCCCTGATTCCCATTGATTCCAGTTTTGATAGGGCTCTTTGATACCGTACGTGGTCAACTGTGGCCTAGATGTCAAGGGAATAATTTTTCCTTCATCTTTTGTCCATTTTTGAACTGAGGCTGTAATAAGGTCGAGCTGAGTGGATTTGGTGAAACCCTAACTGGGTGTCAGTGAGTAAGATATTGCTAAGCAAGTATTGCTTCATAGCACTGTTGGTGACACCTTCCATAACTTACTGATGATTGAGAGTTGACTGATGGGGTGGTAATTTTCCACATTGTTGGGTGGATGCCATTGTTGTAGCTGTACTGGAACAGCTTAGCTAGGGCAATAGCAGGTTTTGGAATACACAACATCAGTACTATTGTTGGAATGTTGTCAGGGCCCATAGCTTTTGCCATATCCAGTGATTCCACATTTTTTTGTTCGATATTACATGGAGAGATTAAATTGGCTGAAGACTGACATCTGTGATCTTGGGGACCTCTGGAGGAGTGAATCAAACACTCGGTACTTCTGGTTAAAGATTGTTTTAAATGTTTCAGCTTTACGTTTTGTACTGATGTTCCGGGCTCTTCCATCATTAAGGATGGGGATTTTTTGTGCAGCCTCCTCCTTCATTCCGTAGTTTAATTGCTCACCACCAGTTGTGACTGGATGCAGGAGGACTGGAGAGCTTAGGTCAATCTGTTGGTTGTGATATCATTTAGCTCTGTCAGTCAGTTTCTGCTTATGCTGATTGGCACACAAATAGTCCTGTTTTGCAATTTCGTCAGTTTGATAATTTTTAGGTATATTTGGGGCTGCTCAGGGCATGCCCTTCTGCACTCTTCATGGAACCAGAGCTGGTTACCTGACTTGATGGTTATGATAGAGTGGGGGATATGTCATCAGACCAGAACCAAAACATTAACTCTGTTTCTCTCCATAGATGCTACCAGACCTGCTGAATTTCTCTAGCAGTCCCTGTATTTGTTTCTTCCAGTCTCTTTCCCTCTCTTAGCTTTCTAGTGGTAGATACGACTTGCAAGGCCGTTTCAGAGGACAATAATTAAGAGTCAACCACATTGCTGTGGGTGTGGAGTCACATGTAGGCTTGATAGCCTACCCAAAAGGGCATCAGTGAATTAAACTTTTCTTTTAATGACAATTGACACTGGTTTCATGGATATCATTAGACCATGCTGTGGTGAATTCGAACCCAGGTCTCAAGAATATCACCTGGGTCTCTGGATTATTAGTTCAGTGGCAATGTCATTGGCATTAGCTGGTTTTGGTTTGTGGTCATTGCCGAAATCAGCTTTATCCTGAATGATGGGAGAGGCCAGTGTATCAGTGTGAACGATTAGGATGAAGCCTGGTGTTGAGCTTTGTACTGGTCCACAAAAGGAAACATCTTTTCCATGTCCACCTTATCAAAACCAGTCAGGATTTTATACACTTCAATCAATCAAATTTTATACACTCTTCTAAACTCCAGTGGAAACAAGCACAATCTGTCCATTAGATAACCCACTTAGGATAACCCACATTTGGGGTGGCACAGTGGCTCAGTGGCTAGCACTGCTGCCTCACAGCACCAAGGACACAGGTTCAATTCTACCCTTGGGTGACTGTCTGGGTGGAGTTTGCATATTCTCCCTATATCTATGTGGGTTTCCTCCTACAGTCCAAAGATGTGCAGGCTAGCTGGATTGGCCATGCTAAATTGCCCATAGTATTCAGGGTTGTGTAGATTAGGGGGATGGATCTGGGTGGGATGCTTGGTGGGCCAAAGGGCCTGTATCCACACTGGGGGGATTCTATGAATTAATAATTCAATCAAGTCAACCTCCCCTGAACTGCCTCCAATGCTTTTATTTCCTTCTATGAATAAGACCCAATCTGCACACTATATTCGAGATATGGTCTCACCAATGCCTCATTTAACCGAACCATAACATCTTTATTTGTATGTTTAATTCCTCTTGTAATGAGGGGAAGAGTATCCTGCAGTCAGCATCATAAAGAAGCTGTCTGGGAAGCGAATCCTGCAGTCAGGTCTTGTTTAAAAAGGTGGACAAATTGTAGCATTTATCTCACAAAAGTGCAGTAAGTTAAGTACTGACATCAATGAAGGGCCGCAGGCACACTTCACTGAGCTCCTGTGTGCTGATGTGACTGGAGTGCATCCTCTCGACCTTGTAAAGAAAGTCTAAGGGTCTCCTCAGCTCTGCAAAAAAGTCCTTTAAATACAGATGAATAAACACATTAAACAAATAGACTACCATACCAAATGATTAAGGTCAAGTATTTTACGATCAGTACTTGTGCATCAAACTTCATTCTGCTTGAGCAATCGAAATTTAAACACCCCTGGATACTCCTTTAATAATCAAGATTTAAATCCCTCTGGGTGGAATTGTTACCTGAATAGTGATATTTGCACGCTGTCAGGAGTTATTACAAGCTCAATTCAGACAAAGGTATCTATCATTCCTTTTGCTTTCATTTCTAAAGGAAACCAGCCTCTCAGATCTCACTTTACCTGCTGGTTTTTCGATGGATCCAATGTCCTTATGGTAGCCACCCTTACTGTCAACCAAATCTAACCATTGGTCATTCTCTGTCAGAGAATGCTTCTACATAGCCAGCATGGTGGCTCAGTGGTCAGCAATGCTGCCTTACAGCACCAATGACCTAGGTTCAATTCCACCCTTGAGTGACTGTGTGGAATTTGTACATTCTCCCTCTGTCTATGTGGGTTTCCTCCTACAGTCCAGATATGTGCAGCTTAGGTGGATTGGCTGTGCTAAATTGCCCATAGTGACCAGGGATGTGCAGGCTAGGTGGATTAACCATGGGAAATGCTGTGTTACAGGGGTGGGTCTGGGTGGTATGCTCTTTGGAGGGTTGGTATGGGCTGAATGACCTGATTCCATACTGTTGGGATTCTATGGTAGATACTTATCCCAGATTAGCTCTTCATAACCATGGATCTTGACTGATTATCTAGTTACCTGAAGATTACCTTTAGATTTCTTTCACTATCATACTGAGTCACTCTTGGTGGTGGACATTGAAATTCCCCTCCCCGAGTACATTTTGCACTCTCAGTGCTTCCCCCAAGTGTTGTTCAACATGCCAGTGGGCTCCAAAGTGCAAACTTTGGCTCTAGTGTGGACACAGGTTTTCTAATCCTATCTATCTATGTCTCCTCCTGGCTTGAATTCAGTCACTATGCGAACCCTTGTAATTTACTAAATTGCTTTCTCTTCCTTTAAAAGCCTCTTTGAAACCTACCTCATTTTTTCCCATTCCCCACTTTTTCTCTGTGTGGATCATTGTCCAGTTACTTCGTTATTTAAGCAAATAATAATTGCTTAGGCAACACCTGATTGTAGGACCACGTAATGTTCAATTTAATATTGAACTGGATCATTCCAATTGTACAGAAAGATTATGACCTATTCTTCCTTCCTGTTTTGTTTTTTGTTCAGGAGTAGGGTTCCTTCACCTGGCTATTTCCATAACTGGTATTACCGCAGTGTGCATATTTGATCCGTGTATTGTCCAGGAGTGTTGCATTTATCATACAACCAATTTTGGATCATGTCATTTATCGCGCGGCTGTTTATATGTAACCTTGCTCTGCATGATAAGTTGCTGACCACATTTCCCCACCTTACATCAATGACTAAACTTAGAAAGTATTATTGGTATTAACCAAATAAAATTTCCATTTGCCTTCGTATTCATTTCTGTGAAGTGCCTCGGCACATCTTATTAGGTGAAAGATCACATTGACTGCAGGTAGAGGCACCACAGTGACTGGGTTGCATTGTGGCCGAGTGAGTCAGTCTCACAGTGATGGAGTCACTACTTCGCAATTGGATTCTGGCAACAACAAGAAAGTTAGATAAATACTTCACTGGTCAGGATGACAGCATCCTCGGATATCTGGGTTAACCATTTCCGAAGATGATTACAAGGGAAGTTAGGAGAAAGAGGGAGGGAGTTGTCTATGTATATGTATGTGTATATGTTTCACCTCTAGCTGCATTTCTTTTATATTCGGCCTGGAGCTGCCTTCCACCTCCGAGCTGCGGTATGACCTTGCCCTGAGCTCTCAGGACTGACGTGTTCAGGAAATCAGCTGATCGCGGAGTCCCGAGGCTGGGCGAGAAGCAGCAGCAACCCCCTCCTCCAGCGGCGTCCGGACACTAGGTTCATTTCCAGTCGGAGCCCGCAGCCCGCAGCCCCTCCCTCTATGTCCCCCGCCGGCTGCTCTGTCTGATTGTGCTGCCTTCACCATGCTTCACAACGGCAACGACTCTGCCCCGTCATCGCCCGCTAAGTTGAGTAAAGCAGCTGGAGCCGGAGCCCCGAGCCTCCTCAACCACCCACCGTCCCGGCCCGAGATCAAGAAGAATGCCATCACTGATGATTACCGAGTGTCCACTAACGTCCTCGGGCTGGGAGTCAATGGCAAAGTCTTGGAGTGTATCCACAAGAAAACGGGAGAGAAGTGCGCCCTGAAGGTACAGTTTGTTCTGCGTGATACAGGAGAGATTATGGTCATTGCTGGGACAAATTCCCTTCAGTGGAAAAAAGAAGTTTGAAGGAACTTCGATATTAAAAAAAAACTCTATGAACTAGGATTAAAAAATTCCGACCCATGTTAGAAAGGGACATGTCTGACTTGCAAAAGAAAAAGGAAATAATTGCTCAATTTGTGTGAAATTACTCCAGCCGCTTTCTTCCTGTCTGTTAAACAACTGCCAGGAGCTGGGCTTTTTCCACATGGCCCCCTGTGTGCAGATACCAAAGAAAGGGGTTTGGTCCGTTGAGATGCTGCCCTGGTTCTGCCAGTTCCATCTTCCTGTGCCTCACCAGAGCGAATTGTTGACCTGGTGCTAATTTGTAGCATAAACGGAGCTACTAAGATTCACAAAGGCTGCTTTCCTTTCTCCAGGACCATCACTTGCCTTTTATACCTGAATGACCAGAATATAAAGAAAAGGGATTTATTACATCTGTCCCAGCATTGGTCAGTACACTAGTTACTGGACATATGTGGCTAATTGGAGCCAAGATATGGTTAATTGAATTTCAGATTAATAAATAAACGAATGAGCAATAGATAACATGGTTGGGATGTGACTGGTGTACTCACATTTGTCTGGTGATGTTTGTGAACATTAATCTTTTCTGCATTTGTTTGTCAAATGGTATGAATGGAAAGAAGGTGAAGTGTTATTCAATTATTGTGAATAGTAGTGTTTGAGATAAATATATAATATAATACAATACATTTATTAGTATTGTATGTACTGAGTGTTGCTGAAGTTTCATTTGTAGTTAGTCAGCAGTTTCTACTGGATAACATTAGCCTATTCAAAGCCCTGATTAGACCACATCTGGAGTATCGTGTACAGTTGCTAGGCAATATACTTTGGAAATGACAGATGTATTTAGTTTGAAAGTGTAACTCTCAGAAGTTACCAGTATGACAAAGGTTAAATCATTAGCAGTTTCATAAACTAAGTTATGTTTCGTGGTTCCCATAAATTCAAGGTAATTACAATTTTCTTTCTGCCCGTGAATGTGTGATTTTATTACAGCTCATGTGCATCTTTCTCTCAATCATTAGGTATTTTTTGTTGCTGTTTACTGTAAACCAGCCATTTGGGCTTTCAGTGTTTTCATCTGTCTACTCTGTGGCTTCATGTGTTCTTGCAGTGTTTATAGCCTGTGATATTGTAAGTGAATCTTTTCTAAGTAAATCTTTTTTCACTTTAGAGTGTACAGAATTCCAAATGAACTGATCTATCAATGTTTTATATATTTCCTTGAATTAATGTATTTATTAACTTTTTCAAACTTGTTATGAGATTGTTAACAAGCTCACCTGATTCCTTTCTCTGGCCTTGAAATTCATGTCATATATGTTGATATTTGTTTGGGCATTGGGTGTTTCAAAAATTGGGTCAGGGTATTTGTGAGAGCCCTCCCTAAACTCCCAGCTTTAACTAACTTTAACACTTCCTCTTCTGCCAACAGAAAGTAGCTGACCCTTTCTTTTTCACTAGTGCCATTTCAAAAACTACTGAATATCAGTCCACCTCCTAATCCAACAGTAGCTGGAGCTGTATGTTTATTTCTGTTTATTCACATGATTCACTTTATTCTATCTATCTATCTATCTATCTATCTCACACCCTCTCTCAAAATCATTTTCGAGCTCATCGGCATCCACCACCACCACAGTTTAACGCAAAATACTACAGTTGTAAGAGTATGTTTCTCTCAGCTATCCATGTAGCTGATAAACTGATACATTGTTACTTGGAACGTGTTGCCTGGGCTAGAGAGTTTTAGTTATGAAGAGAGGTTGTTTAGACTGGGGTTGTTTTGCAGAGGCGGCTGAGGGGGGACATGATTGAGTCGTATAAAATTATAAAGGGTGTACAGAAGGTAGACAGGAAGGAACTTTACCCTTGGTGGAGGGATCAATGACTGGGATTTAAGTAAGGGACAGGAGGTTTAGAGGGGATGTGAGGCAAATGTTTTTCACCCAGAGGGTAGTAGAGTCAGATACCATAAGATTTAAGAAGTGTTTACTGTACAATCGCAATGCCAATGCATACAAAGTTATCAGCCAAGTGCTGGAAAATAGGATTCGAATAGGTGGTTGTTGAGTCTGCACCAGACTAAAATGGGCTGAAGGACTTTTTTCTAAGCTGTAGACCTCTATGACTCAATGACTGCAATGTAACAATGAATGTAGCACTCTAGGGATATTTGTTCAGATAACAATTAATTCCTTGATCTTTACAAATATTACAACAATGGCTTTTATCTGAAATGTAGGTTGAGGAGAGACTTTAGTTAAGGTCTTTGGATTTTGATTAAAACAGAGCCAGTAGATTTAGAAAATAAATTCTTCACACAAAGGATACTAGAAGTTCGGAGTTTGAAGTAAAAAACAGTAAATGCAATTCAAGTTAACTTAGTGCTGTTGCCTGACAGCACCTGGGACCCGGGTTCAATTCTATCCTCGAGTGACCGTGCAAACTCCACACAACGTTCTCCCTGTGTCTACGTGGGTATCCTCTGGATGGTCCAGTTTCCTCTCTCAGTCCAAAGATGTAGAGGTTAGGTGGATGGGCAATTTAGCATGGCCAATAGTGTCCAGGGAAGCAGGGTTACAGGGATAAGGTAGGGGCGGTGGGTTTGGGTGGGATGTTCTTTGGAGGGTCAGTGTGGACCTGATGGGCAGAATGGCCTGCTTCCATACAGTAGGGCTTCGATGATCATGGCTGATCTCATCTTGGCCTTAACTCCAATTTTCTATCTGTTGTCTGTTATCCTTCAACTCATTACTAACTAAAAATCTGTCTGTCTGTCTATCTCCTTAAGTTTACTCAATGTCCCATCATCCACCACACTCTGGGTAGTGGGTTCCACAGATTTACAATTCTTTGAGAAAAGTAACTTCTCCTTATCTGATTTAGATCAGTCACCCCTTATCCTAAAACTATGACCTCTCATTCTAGATTGCCCCATAAGAAGAAACATTATCTCTATTGCTACTTTGATGTATACAAGATGCTAAAGAGGATTGACAATTAGATCTCCTCTCATTTTCCAAACTCTAGTGAGTGTAGGCCTAAATTGCTCAATCTTTTCTCACAAGACAAGCCTTTCATCTCCAGAATTAATTTAATAAGCCTTCTTTAAACTGCCTCCAAAACAATCTCATTTTTCTTCATGTAAGGGGATCAAAACTGTAGTTCAATCTCACCAACACCTTGTACTGTTGGAACAACACTTTTTTATACTCTCCATTTAGTAATATTAAAATTCTATTTGCCGTTTTTATTACCTGTATATTAGTTTTCTGTGATTCAAGCATGAGGACACCCAGATCCCTCTGCCCCGAAGTACTCTGAGGTTTCTCTCCATTTAGACAATAAGTTGCATTTGTACTCTACTGACAAAAATGGATAATCTCACACATAGAAATCATAGAATTCCTACATTTTAAAATAGGCCAATCGGCCCATCAAGTCTATACCCACCCTCTAAGGATCATCCCACCCAGTCACACCACCCTACACTATCCCTGTAATCCTGTGTGTCCCATGGCTAATCCACCTAGCCTGCACGTCTTTGGACTGTGGGATGAAACCAGAGCACCCAGAGGAAACCCATGCAGACAAGGGGAGAATGTGCAAGCTCCACACAGACAGTAGTCCGAGGATGGAATTGAACCCGGGTCCCTGGTCTACTGAGCCACCATACTGCCCCTATATCCACACTAAACACCACCTGCCAAATTATGGCCCATTCACCTAACATAGCCATATCCATTTGTAAATTCCTTATTTCTTTATTGTGACGTACTTAAAAAAAAAAACTCTGGAATTAGGAGTCTAATGATGACCATGAATCCATTGACGACTGTCGGAAAAACCCATCTGGTTCACTAATGTCCTTTAGGGAAGGAAACTTACCTGGTCTGGCATACATGTGACTCCAGACCCACAGCAATGTGGTTGACTCTTAACTGCCCTCTGGGCAATTAGGGTTGCGCAATAAATGCTGCCTAGCCAGCGATGTCCTCATTGTGTGAATGAATAAAAGCAAACTTTTCTACTTATTTTGGTGTCATCTACAAATTTGGCTATAGTACCATCTATTCTTCCATTCAAGTCATTCGTATAGATTGTAAATAGTTGGGGCCCAAGGACCAAATCCTCTGTCTCACCCCATTAGATTCAATAGTTGTCAACCAGAAAAAGAACCATTTATCCTGACTCACTATTTTGTTTGTTAGCTAATCCTCTATCCAAGCTAATAACTTATTCCTAACCCCATGTTATAGAATGGTGGTGTAGGCTCAAGGAGTTGAATGGCCTTTTCTTGCTTCTGTGTCCCTAATTTTGGGATCAAATCTGGGAACACCTTGATTGCTCAGTAAGTAATTGGTTTATGGGAGCTGTCAGTATCTAACAGAATGTACTCGTGCTGCAACTCAGTAAACTCAATCAGAATAACGAGTGAAGTTTGGATTGGTTCAATTCAGCATGTTTGTTAAATAATGGTGATATTTCTAACTGTGTAAGCAATGTGGTGATTGAAGAATGAGTCCTTAGATTGCTGGGCCTGTTTTCAATTTCCCTTCCCCCACTGTTTTAGCTTTGTATTAGTGTTCAGTTCCATTAAGGCAAATGGTGCAGCAGATGTCTCTGAATATGAACAACATGCTGGTTATTTGCCTGATTGATGGCCAGAATTGAAACATTGAAGATTTATCAATGGTGTTTCACAGATTGTGTTAGTAATTGAGGATAAAATTAGTGTTGTCACTATTATTTGAAATTCTTTTGTCTCTGAGCTGTCTAAAACACAGAAGTAGTAAAATTATGTATCCTATCCTAAATTGAGACTGTGTTTAAACATTTTTTGTTTTAGCTATTTTATGTTAGAATGAAGTATTTAACTGTGAGTACAGGAGGTCTGTGACTGGTGGTGG